TTGTTGTTGTTGTTGTTGTTGTTGTTGTGTGCCTTCCAAGTCTTATGCCATCCTTAAGGCCAACCTTTCCTTGGCAAGATTTCTTCAGAAGGGGTTTTCAGCCATGGCCTTCCTCTGAGGCTGAGAGAGTGGCAATGGGAAAGAAACCTCCTCTGAAGATCCAGTAACACCCAAAACCCACCAAACAGGGGTACCTGTACTGGGCCAACCCAAATGCCCATTATCCACCTAGCAAGCTTTGTGAAGCTCCACTGGCTAAAAGCGCTAAAAACCATCCAGGAGAGAAAAACCGAAATTGTTTGAGATGTCGGTCATCTCCATCCTTTGGGAGGCCAAAGGCCTCTTTGTTGGGGGAATCCCCTCTGAAGAGGAAGGGTGACCCCCATCGACTCCGTCACCCATCATCCCCAAGGTCAACCAGTGGGTGTACAAGGCTGAGCCGGGATTCGAACCCTGCTCTCCAGGGTCTCAGTCCAACACTCAGACCACTGCACCAAGCTGGTCCTCCTGCTTTTTATTCCCTCCTGTCTCCCGAGATTCGAACCATGGTCTCTAGCGCCATAGGAGATTGCCACACCGTGGTGCAAACCCATTCCTTATCCACAATAAAAGTAAATGCTAGCTTCCCGCTATTGCAGCGCATGGCATCGTACTGTTGATGCAATAACAGGATTCCTGCGCAATTCAAGCGGTGTAAACGACAGTCATCCCGCGTTTTTCATTATGACGCACAGGCGCAATTGCGTAACTGGAACTCTGTTCTGCTCTGGGGCCACAACAAACTGCACTTCCCAGAATTCCATAGCCTTGGGCCAGGGTAGTTAAAGCGGTGTCAAACTGGATTATTTCCGCAGAGCGGATGCAGCCGAAGCCTCGGGGCCTTTTTGGGGGTGGCTTCACCTGCCTGTTGTTCTGACCCAGAAACCCTAAGCAAGCCTCTGGGTCTGTCTTCTCCGGCGCTAAGAATGTGCTGTTTCGAACCCGCTCCTGGTGCTGAGCCTGGTTTGGCTTACTATGCTTCTGGCCAGTGTCCACTTTAATCTTTTTAAAACTGTATTTTATTTGTTTTATTGAGAACAGTGGGCCCTTGATATCCGATAGGGTTGGTTCCAGGACACCCCCCAATGGATGCCAAACTTTGTGGATGCTCAAGTCCCATTAAATAAAATGAGGTATTATTATTATTATTATTACTATTATTATTATTACTATTATTATTATTACTATTACTACTACTACTCTATTATTACAGTGGACTCTTGGTATCTGCTGGGATTTGGTTCCAGGCCCCCGCCCCTGGATACCAAACTCTGTGTATGCTCAAGTTCCATTAAATAAAATTAGGTATTATTATTATTATTATTATTATTATTATTATTATTATTATTATTACAGCGGGCCCTTCGTATCTGCTGGGTCTTGGTTCCCGGACCCTCCGTAGATCTCAAAATCTGTGGATGCTCAAGTCCCATAGATACAATGGCATAGCAAAATGGTGTCCCTTATATAAAATGGCAAAATCACGGTTAGCTTATCGGAATAACATTTCCAAGCCGTGGATGGCTGAATCCATGGATAAATAAATAATCCGTGGATACGGAGGGCCAACTGTAGTCTGTTTTAATATTCTAATAATTTAATTCTACTTTAATACATCACTTTGGTATGTTTTTGACTGAGTGTACTGTTCTTTTGAATTCTTCTGAACTGAGTTCTTTTGTATTGCGTTGAATTGTGAGCCGCTCTGAGTCCCAGTTTTGGGAGAAGGGTGAGAGACAAATAAATATAACAACAACAGCAACAACAACAACAACGATATTATTTTTTTCCCTATAAGCTATTTGTGGGCCAGGCTGGGATGCCCTTGTTTGGTGCCATGTGTTGGGCCTGGCGCATCCTTCCGGCCACGGGTCAAGGGTCCGGAGGGTGGGCGGCTGTGGGCTTGAGTGACCGATGGCGCGCTTGCGGGCTTTGCGTCCTCTCTCTTTCTTGCGCCGTCTCTCTCTCTCTCTCTCTCTCACCTGCATTTGGTGCTCCCATTGTGTGGTTGTGCGTGTGTCGTGTGTCGTTGTGTAAGGACCACATCCTGCTTCCTCTGGGTCTGGTTCTCTCTCTTTCTTTCTCTTTCTCTCTCTTTCTCTCTCTCTTCTCTGTGTCTTGTGTGCCAATAAAGAAAGAGGAAAGTCAGGGGATGAGGATTGTTGCTATTGATCTGCCCAAGGGGATCATTAGGCATCAGTATCAATCTACAAATCAGTTGGACCCGCGCTTCTTTGCTTGGGCACTCATTGCCAATTTGTTCCTATTAGATGGCTGAGCCCTGAGGTGTCTGATGAGCAGATTGGGTCTTTATCTCGGCGGCGGAGAGCGCGCCTTGCGCAGCGCGCCTTGCGTGGAAGCAGACCAGCCCTTGCAAAGACAGGAGGGAGAGGTTGTGTGTGTGTGTGTGTTTGTGAATGTGATTTGTTTAGACT